AACAACAACAACAATCATAAGAATTCTTCTGTGAGGTCTATGTAGCTGGTGCAACAGATTTTGGGCCCAGTACAGCAGCAATATTGGTGCTAGAATTCATAGAAATAGGAGAAAGAGTGGGGACATGTTTGACCTCATGGGAACAGGCTTTGTGTTGGGGATGCTCTTTTTGGGCATAGTTCTCCTTGTGGAGTTAGAAGACGTCAGATATGGCTGTCCCCATTCTGCCCTAGCTCTTTTTACATGAAGGACAGACAGAGAGACAGATAGATATAGTAAAAGTAATCAAGGGTTATTGTCTTGAGTCTAAAGAATATATATCAGAGGAATGAAGGGTTCATAATAGTAACACTGCCTCTGTGACCAGGCTGTTTTCAACAATCTTCTGACCCACTAGCAATTGAGATGACACCGTATGGATGCTAACTCCAGACTTATGAAACGCTTGAAAATGAAGCAGCCATTCACTCCCAGAAAAAAAGGATTTAATCACTGATAACTCACACTTCATGGTCTTCACTGCTACTTTCTGAGGGGCTCCATCTTGCTGTTCCAGATTTCCTTCCATGACAGACCCAAACTCTCCTGTGAAGTAAAACATCTGTATTGACCTTGTGCAGAATCCCCCCTGATTACAGAAATGCCAAGAGGCCAGAGCTGCTGGCTTCTTGTGGTCAGGAAGCAATCAACCCACACCCAGACAACGAGCTCCACAGGTACCTCAACAGATGCCAAGGACATGTGCCATGCCCTGCTTAACATCAGCTTAGCTGGTTCAGCTTTAACACGTTGCTGCACACTTTTAAATTGACAACCGTGCTTAGAAACACATTTTTTTTTGCCGTCATTTGTGGCAACGTGTTAACTTGGTTTATTACATTATTGAACATGACAACTAATAGATAAATTAATAAAACAATATGGAAACAATTATAGATGTTTATAAAGCATGCACTCTTAATACCATTATCATGCAAGATCAATTTTATAAATTAAACACGTATTTTTCACCTTTGGTCCTATTTCTCAGGAAGGTGGAAAGGAAAGAAATGTTAACAATTAGAAAAGTTAGGCTTAATGTGTAAATGCATCTTATGCTTTTCAGGGAATAAAGAAATTCATATTTTTCAAAGGTCCTTTTTAATATGTCAATCATGTTGTTGTTGTTGACTGTCGTCAAGTTGATCACAACTCCATGAACAAAAGACCTAATGCCTTTCTATAACTATTGTCGTTTCTCCAAGTTCAAAGAGTTTCCAGAGGCAGTGATTTACGAAATGGATGCCACTCCTCCTTCCAAACCTGTTTTACAACTGGGAACTCCACCAAACAGTGTCTACATTGGGAAACCATCATAGTATTTGATACCCCAATGGCACAAGGTTCAGCATCACAGCAAACTCAGTTTACTTCATACAGCACACTGACAAAGAGTGATGTACAAAGTAGAATAATGTTCTCCAGATATAACAACACTAGTCTCACTTAGCAGTGGTTAAGTGTTGTCAAGTTGAATATAATTCACAGTGACCCTGGCACAAAATACCTGAACTCTGTTCTATAATTTACATTCTTTCTGTACGTTTATAGAGTATATAGTTTCCAAAGGCATCTGGGTTAGAAAGTGGATACCACTCCTGCTTCCCATCCTGAATCAATCTGGAAGCTCCTCCAAACATTGTACATGATGGGTAACCATTATGGTATTTGACATGACTATGGGATAGTGTTCAGCATCACACAACTCCCAAGTTATTCAGTACAGCAACCAAACAATTGCTATATGCTGTATCGCTTAAAGAATATTCATTCTAAAATTAATTAATTTAATTAACAAATCCTACAGGATTTTAAAGCAACACTCTTTAGCAGACCTCCACCCTTAGTCAAAAGTTCACCTGATACCCGCTTTTGGGAGGGGGGGAATCAGTAACAAACATCAAACACAGCCCAGAAACTTCCCTTACGTGACCACCATCAAGACGTGATGGCCATCAAGACGCTAGAAGCCAACTCCTAGTCAATCATGAGGCTCAAAAATTTATTACCAATTTTATCCAATTTCAAATTATAAAATAATTTTTATATTATAATTCAGTCATAAAAAATATGATAATTTATTTAATAAATAAAGACACATGTGGGGTCACCATGTGTCAGAAGGGGCTTGATGACAACTAGCAAAAACAATAACAAGTTAATATTCCAAGAAATGTAAAAGAAAATGGTATTAGTTTACTTGTATATCATATACATATATATCAAAAGTATTGTCATTATGAAATTATCTTTTTCTATTAAATAAAGAAAAATTGAAATTAAATACAGACATGTTTTCAAAGAATTCCTCTCAATTGCTGACCTTCACCGAGAACTTTTCCAAGAATTAAAAGGTTTCTGTCAATCACAACATCTTCCAGCTTATTCTGCAGCTCCTCACTGACGCCCAGACTACGCACTGTAAAGGCAGTAACAGCACATTGGTAAGGACTGAATGTGAGTTTTCTTTAACTTGTAATACTAAAAAAATAAATAGCAAAACTTGATTTTTTCATTTTATAACTATTATTTCTCCATCAAAATGCCTATAATAATATACCACATTTAAGTCTACTATGACTGAAATTAATTTTCCAGGGTAAGTTTTAATTTTGAAGATCATTAAGTTCAGGACCACTAAGCAGGAACAGCAGCCAGCAGTCAGACCCCTAGAGGGAGATACCCCTTTGACATCAGGAGAAATGAAGAGGGGTTAGGAGGCCCTTTTTGTAAAGAATTTACTCTGAAGTACACTACAGTGTACTAAAGAACCATGAGGACATGAGCACAGTCCATTCAGGCCAGGGAAAGGAGCACGTAAACAACAGGAAACGTTTGGAAAGTAGGTACTGTTTGATACAGGGCATTTTCAAAGTGTCATTGAGTTGATTCTGACTCAAAGAGAGGTCATGGATGCAGAAAAGAACTGCTCCAAAGGCTGTTAACTTTCAGAAGGGACTTTCTTCTAAGGTGCCTGTGAATGGGTTCGAACAGTCAACTGCTTGGCTAGTAGCTGAGTTCTTAACCCTCTGTATCACCCAGACACACCTACATATGTATACAAAATGTTATGGTGGTCATGGCCATGGTCTTTTCAATCACTTGCTATGCATCTGAGAACTGGACAATAGATAAGGATGATAGTAAAAGAATTGATGCCTTTGAGCTGTGGTGTTGGAGAAGAGCACTGAATATCCATGGACTGCCCAGAGAACAAACAGGTATGTCTTGCAGAGGGTGCAGCTGGAGCGCTGCTTGGAGGGAAAGATGACAAAGCCTCATCTCCCATACTTAGGGTATGTTGTTAGGAAAGGCTATTCCTTGGAGGGAAACATCAAGCTCAGCAAGGTGCAGGGTTGGCAGAAAAGAGAAAGACCCTCAATGAAATGGACAGATACAGGAACTGAAGCAATGAGCTCATGTATGTCAGAGACGATGAGGATGCCACAATATAGGACAGTTTGTATCTGTTGTTAACAGGGTCACTCAGAGTTGTACTTGATTCAGGAGCATCTAACAATAACAACAACATGGCAGTAATAAAAAAAAATATTCATTTCAAGTCAGACAACTGGAGATCTTTCAGAATAAGGTGCTTATGTGAAACAATAACAATAAATATTGTCAATAAAAGGAATGAACTGGGAGAAAGAGACCAGTAATTATTTGGTAAATTATTCTACTTGGACCACAGCTAAGACATGAGCAAGCCTTTGGAAAAAAATGTGGTTGAGGAGAACCATTTGCATCATGTAGGGAACACAGGTAATTAGAACAGATACATAAGCTCTTAAAAAAGTAATTTTTTTTAAAAAAATTAATTTCAGTGAGTCCAGAGATTTAATCTTTAGAGGGTCCATCAGTTTTATCCTCTCCAGATTGTGCATTTCTGACTGTATTTGGCAGTCTCTTTATATCATAGGATAAGCCTTTTAAGCTTGGTCCCAGTTTGTATCTTATGAACTTTCTGGTTTGGGACTTTATTCCCAGGTCTCTGACCCACCTTGAGTTGATTTTTGTGTATGGTGTGAGATGTAGATCCTGTTTCAGCTTTCTGCAGGTTTGGCCAGCATCATTTGTGGAAGAGGTTGTCATTTACCCATTTATTTGGTTTTAGTTCCTTTTTGAATATCAGTTGATCATAGATAATTGGACCCATTTTGGGGTTCTCAGTTCTGTTCCATTGGTCTGTGTGCCTGTCATGGTACCGGTACCATGCTATTTTGGTTATTACAACTGTGTAGTAGGTTTTGAGATCAAGGAGTGTTATGCCTCCCACTTCAATTTTGTTTTTCAGAAGTGCTTTACTTATTTGGGGTCTATTTGCTCTCAAAACCTTTTTCCAACAGCGGGGAAAGAAAGCCTATCAACTGGGAAAAACATGTGGCAATAACATACTATTGGACCATCAGAAGAAAAAGACTGATAACCCAATTACAAAATGAGAAAAATTAATTAAATTTCATTAAAATTAATTCCTCTTTCACAGAGTAAGTCAGGTGGCAAACAGATACATGAAGAAATGCTCAAAATAGCTGGTAATAAGAAAGATGCCAATCAAAACCACAATGAGATACCATCTCATGCCAGAAGCTGATTCTTTGAAAACTTTCCCCTCTGCTTACCTCTTTGCTAGTCTCCTGAGAAGGTTTCTTTTCCCCTCTTTGTCTCAGGGATGCGCAATTGTGTATAGTTCCAGGTTTTTAGGAAGTCAGCAAGCAGGGACACCCATGGTGCCTACCAATCTACTTGCTGTTTGTTATTGCATCTTTGCCCTCAGATACTTTGATGCTTTACTTACAAGTGAGCTGGATGGCTCTCCGACAGAAGGATTTCTTCGCTACAAAATTTACAACCAATTCAGAATTGTCCTCTGCAAATGCATTCCTGGGAGAATGAAAACAAACACATTGCACATCATAAAATCAGGAATAGAGGCAAGGGATGATGCCACAAGGAGGCTGCCATGAGTAAGACATTGCTTTCAAAGAACCTCTTCTACAATAAAGGCATTTCCTATAGCTTAGCAGTAAGGATCTGTGCTGCTAACCCAAAAATAGGCAGTTCAAATCCACTAGCTACCCCTCGGGAGAAAGATGAGAAATCTCTTCCCATATAATTAATAGCCTCTGAAAATCTGATAGAGCGTCAGTTACAGGTAGGTACAATGACACAATAACACTGGAAGAAATGTTTCTTTCCTTAGATTTGTTTTCACTTCCTCAGCAGTACCAATACACTATGTAGCCAGGAAATAACTGAAGTACATGTAGTCATTATTTTAGACTAGTTAGTGGCAAAAACTTTGAACTTCTTGTTGTCAAGTCAGAATAGATTCACAGTTGACCATCCACCAGGTTTTCAGCGGCTGTAAACAACATGCCTCCAGAAACTCTATGAACTTTGATAAATGTTGATAGTTTTAGAGGGATGTCAGACCTTTTTTCATAGGGTCATTATGAGTCATGCTTGACTCAAAGGCAGTCAACAACAACAAACCACACTGGAAGAGATTACCACAACGCAGCTAGTGGAGGTGAACTGCCCTGTTTGGGATGAGATGGAAGCACAACCTCCCCCAGATGAGGCTGCCTGTGTCCACCATGTACCCGAGGCTGCACAGTAGTGCTTGGCACCTAGCAGGCCCTCCATACACAGTAATGAGCCACTACAGAAAGTCCTTTAAAGGGTCTTCCTTTTATAATGAGTTCACATGTCACACCCAACTTTTAAACAAATGGCTCACATTTCTGGGACATAGTCTGTTCAGGAGTTAGATCAGATTTTGTCCAGCCCTTATTAGAATTTACATATAACAGAATTATGTGGGTTTTGTTGCTGTTATTAGGTGCTAGAACTTATAACAACCCTGTAAACAACAGATCTGAACCCTGCCACACCCATACCACCTCACCATCTCTGATATGCTCAAGCCCACTGTGGTTACAGTCCCTGTACCAATTCCTCTCATGGAGGGACTTCTTCTCTTCCACTGACCCTCTATGGTTCCCAATCTGATGTATTTTTTCCCCACAAGGACTGGCCACCAGCCCCCTCATCCCTGACAACATGTCCAAGGTATTCAAGACCATGTTTCACTTGAGTTTTTAGTGCTAATAGAATTATATACACAGTTTTATTCATGCATAACAATTTCATGGACAGAGCTTTAAATACTGAGGATAAAAGAACTCCCGCATTGGGAAAAGCACTCTTAACAACGAGCCATTGTGAACAGTGAAGGCTTACTGATCACTTCTCAGTAAAAGACGTTTGAGCTCTGGCTTTCTCCCGGTTGATCTTTGCAGAGCTCTACCTAATGGAAGAAAATGCTTGACTCCAGAGCTTGCACAAATAGGGCAATAGGTTGGAGGCAAGATGAGGGACTGGGCCAAAAGGAGAAGCACTGTCACACGGTGTAATAACCTCATCAATGCTGTTGTTAGGTGCCACTGAGTCAACTACAACTCACAGCAAACTCATGAACAATGAATCTGAACCCTGACTTATTCTGTGCCATCTTCATCATCTCTGATATACTCGAACTCATTGTTAAAATCACTGTGTCAATCAGTATTACCGAATAAAGAATTTTAACAGAGAAACTTACCCAAATCTTGTTTCCTGGGCTCTTTTTCTGATGGTGTAAGAGATGTATACTATCAATCCAATAGAAAAAAATACACAAATGCAGATCAGGACGATGAGTACAGGATCGGTGTTGCCAGGCGCCGGGGTTGATGAGGGCGCAAAATCTACCCAAGCTAGTAAAATACAAGAAACAATTCAAAACATCGCTGGTAAAATGCATAACATTGATTTGCAGTGGGGAAAGGAAGACTGCTTGTCTTCCTCTCAATGTCTAAATTCTCCTGGTAGAGCATCTGTGGGTACAGAAACCATGCTATGGTCCCCACTTAACACTGCCATTCGGCACCAGAAAGAGGAGATGTGGGTATCACTGGGAACTCAATTATCTCTGTTCCTGGGAACAAAGGCCATAATTGGCAGGAACTTATAAATGTGAAACACTGACAATATGTCTATGCATGGATGTAATAACAAGTCAAAATCAAACTACAGTCAGTAGACTGTTCTGACTCACAATGGCTGGCCCAGGAGGACTGAGCAGAACTGTCTCATGGGGTTTCTAATGTATAAACCATGATGGGAGCAGACTTCCTCACCTTTTCCCCACTGAGTGGCTTATGGGTTCAAACTGCTAATGTTTTAGTTAGCAACCAACTGCTTTAGGCAGAGCACAAGAGTTCCTGGATTTGATGACAGGTGTTTAAAAAGAAACAATCTAGGTAGCCTTGAATCAGACGAAAGTGACTCAAATAGTCTAAGGAAATGAGTAGAGCCACTTGCCACCTGGGCCACCACCAGCTCCCCACAGGGCTACGCTTCAACAAAAAAGCCAGTGAGCACAGCAAGGGATTCAGCTCAGTGAGCACAAAGCAGGCTGGGCACAGCTTCCGTAGGAAGCACTCATGCTATTTACACACCACATCACAAGGCATGTCCTCCAAGGCTTGCATGGATAGCAGTACAGCAGGCAGCACTACATATATCCCAAAGGGGATGTCTCTAACAAAAAACAAAAAGTGCCAGTTACAGAGAACAAATGTCATCCTCACATCTGTAGAAATACTCAGCCAATTACACTTCACTTACTGAATTCAGTAAGTGCAGGCCAAGCTGGTATACTGTAAGGACTAATCTTGCTAGTGAGTTATCACAGCAGTGGTCGTGGGAGGAGGCCTCTCTTATAGCAGCTTCATGAAGTATGCTATCTTAATTCTCTTTATCATTGCAAAAATCCCTTGGCCTTCTTTTTTGTTCTCTAACAGCCATCACTGCACAGATGATTCTTGGAAAATCTTGGCACCATCTCAACTGGACTGGCTGTGGTCCCAGCTCTCACCATGCACAGGGATGAGTACTTTCACAGGGTCACTGAAAGGTCCAACTCCCCCAGTGGTGACGGCTGCGATCTTCACTGTGCATGTAGCATTGTAGACTTGAACTGGAATCTGAGTATGGCTACTGTTCTGGCCAACTTCTTCAGAGAGTTCCTTCTGCAGAACAGGGGACAGGCAAGAGAGGAAGTGCTGAAGTGCCCTGACAGGCTGCGGGCTCACCCACACCCCTAAGGCTAGCAGCCAGGTCTCCACAACATCCGCTCCTCACGTGGACCAGGCCAGAGGGGGCCGAGGACATGCCAGCAGCAACCTTAATCACTGAGGCCACAGCATACCTGAGTTGTGAAGAACAGCACTTGGAGTAAACAGTAAAGCAGCATCTGGAATAGAGGGGCTACAGAGGTAGCAGGCACCCTGCTCTCAGAACTACCTTGACACTAACCTCTGTCAAATTTCCCCTGCACGAGGAGGTTCCCATTCTTCAAATGATGAGAATCTTTATTACTACACACATCTAAGAAGACCTGGGCACTGTCTTCTCTTATGGTTGGACAAATGCACAATGTGCTAAATTTCCAAAACTCTAGCTTAATTTGATTTTGTTTTATAGCTACTGTCATGAAACAATCATCCATTAATAAGAAAGAAAAATGCTTGGAAAAAAGAATTAGAACTAAGTGTTCATGCAACACTTTAATGTTCTCCCCCCTCCCAAATCTTGACTATAGCAATGTTCTCTGGTTTAAGATGTGAGCTGTGATGCCACCCATGTTTACTGCTGTGTTGTCCACAATAGCACAGAGATAGAAGAAACCCAAGTGCCCATCAATAAATGAATGGATAGAGAAGTGGTGGTATATCCACATAATGGAATACTATACATCACTGAAAAACAAGGAACTCATAAAATATTATACAAAATGGGTCACCCTGGAAGACATTATGCTAAGTGAAATATCTCAGTCATAAAATGACAAATACTGTATAAAAAATATTGACATTGGGGATTGGGGGAACTAAGAAAAGAGAGGGTAAATAATGAACACTGCATTGGAAGAAATGAGGGAAAGAATTGTTTAAAAGGAATATATGATTAGGCATTATTTGCAGGACAAAAGTCCAGAATAAGAGTTGCATAGTAAAGTGGACTTGGGGGTGGGGGAGGAAATTGTGCAACAATGAAGGAATTTTTAAAAGAGAAAAGAGAACAGGGTGGGGGTGCAGGAAGGGAGGGAAAAGTGCAACAATGAATGAACGGAAATCCAAATTTTCTTTAAACTTTTGTTGAAATCACAATAATAATTTATTTTTTAAAAAAAAGGACGTGAAAAAAAGAGACGTGAGTTTGGGTTTGGGGCTAGGGGTGCAGTTTAGAGGTTGAACTCCTAATCTAAAGGTGGTATCTCTCTGGTGGTTCAAATCCACCAGCTGCTTCCTGGGCGAAAGATGAGCAGTCTTCTCTGGCATGATTTACAGCCTTGGAAAGTCAGTGGAGGGTCAGCTGTGAGTTGGTTTTGAGAAAGAAAATAAGGTGGGCCCGCAGCATGCCCTTACATCCCAGCACTTCCTCTATTCTCTGCCTTCTGTGCCACAGAAAGAGTTCTCTGAAGAAGCTGGCAAGAACAGCAGTGAAGCTTTTTCAGTTTTCATAAATAAAAAATGTAGGACTGTGGCGGCCTACAAGAAGCCTTAATAAGATGTCTCTAACTCTTAAACTGTGAGAGTCTGATTTGATAGAACACACGCCGGCACAAATTGCATCAATCTTCAGTAAACTGGAAGGGTACAGCCTGGAACCAGCTCAGTCCTCAAGGAAAAGGATGCCTTGTCATTCCTGACCGAGGGGATGTCTGGGCCAATCATCTAGGAACTGTTTCTAAATCTACACCAATGATGACCACCCAGACCCAGAAACTCCTAAAAAAGAAAAAAGTAAAATATATAACCTTAAAACATTTCCATTTTCCCATTCCAAAGGACTTAGAATCTGAGTCAACTGAAAGTTGAATAAGTCTCTCTTGAAAGAAGTGCAACCAGGGTGCTCCTTAGAGGCAAGGATAGTGAAACTCATCTCACAGGGTTTGAGCACGTTGTCAAGAGGGGCCTATTATAGAAAATGACATGAGGCTGGGAAATATGAAGAGTGTGAGAGAGGAAACCATCAACAAGATGGACTGACACAGAGATTGTGAGGAAAACAGGGCAGACTTTAGATCTGTTGTTCAAAGGGTCACTCTGAATCATAGTGGACTTGATGGCATCAAACAACAATATTAATCAGAATAAAAATCACATGGTAATTGGCTTAGGTTTAGTCTTGGGTTGTTTGGGTTTTTTCCCCTTTACCATTCTCTGTTTAACATCTTATTTAGAGGAAGAAATTAACCAAGCATAGTCATATCCACACTGGACTTGAGCCCTGCAATGAGTTAAGCCCATAATAATGTGTCTATCTCACAGTGTATGTACCCAGTAGCTCCTCAAAGTACAGCAGGCCTCAGGCATGACAGAGATCCTTGGCCTGCTTGTCTGTCTGTCTTGATAAAGACTCAGATACAAGGCATCATTGATGAAAAAAATTATCTCAGAATAAGAGGTACTGTACGACTGAGAAAAATAAAATGCCTAGGAGGATAGAGATCCTAACAACAACAGAATTCACCTTTAGGTGACAAACACAAAAGAAGTTAGTAACACCTATTCACTAGGGACTACAGACCCTCTGGTGGCAAAGTCTATAGACTGCAGATCTCTACCAATTCAGATCCATCAGCAGCTCAAGGAAGAAAGAAAAGTAATTTCCTCCTATTGGGGCCTACAGCCTCCAAAACCCCAATAGAGGCTCAGGGTGAGAGTGAAATGACTTGATGGCAGTAAGTTCAAATTTTCTGAGGTCAGTCAGGAATCCATGAAAGGCCCACAGCATTCAGCTGTTAGCTGGAAGGCTTTGGGAGAAAGGCCTGGTTTTCCCAGTATGGTTCCCAAAAGCCACCACCTAGAAAACCCTCGGAAGCTAGATCTTCAAGGCTGTCATGACTCAATAGCAACTAATATCAAAGGGCCTAGGAAACCCAAGGAATTTACTTTTTATTTCCACCCTCTGAAGACACATTAACAGCCTGCATCATCCAGATGACACAACCTTTCTGGGTGAAAGTGAGGAGGACTTGAAACACTTGCTGCAGATGATCAAAAACTGCAGCCTTTAACTAACTAACTAATGAACTAACAAACTAACTAAACCTGCAGCCTTCAATATAAATTTCATCTCAACATCAAGAAAACAAAAATCTTCACCATGGGGCCAAAAGGCAACACCATGATAGATGGAGAAAGTATAGAAATTGTCAATGATTTCAACTTGCTTGGATCCGTAACAACCCCCGTGGTATAGCAGCCAGGAGAGCTGCAGATGCATGTTGTTGTTTATGTGCCATTGAGTTACCTGTGACTCAGGATAGAGCAGGGTTTAGACCTATTGTGGTAATCTCTCTGTCTCCGACAAACCTGCCCCAAATCCCCAGTCACTGAATCAATCCACCTCATAGAGGGTCTTCCTCTCCTGCGTTCTCCCTCCACCCCACCAAGCATGATGTCCTTTTCCAAGGACTGGTCCCTCCTTGCAACATGTCCAAAGTATGTCAGATGAAGGTTCAGAATCCTTGCCTCCAAGGAGCAGCCTGGTTTAACCCTCTCTAGGTTGAACCTGTTTTCTTAGCAGTCCATGGTATATTCAACACTTCTCCAACACCACAGCTCAAAGGCATCAATTCTCCTTCTATTCTCCCTAGTCATTGTCCAGCTTTCTGATGCATAGCAAGTGATTGCAAAGACCATGGCCTGTATCAAACACACCTTAGTTTCCAGAGTGACATCACTGCTCTTCAGTACTTTGGAGAGGTCCCTAAAAGCAGACTTTCCCATCGCAATACGTTTTTTAATTTCCTGGCTGCTGGTGTCAAGAGTGTTGACCGTGGAGCCAAGCAGACTAAAGTTGTTAACAATCTCAGTCTCTTCACCATCCATTCTGATACTGCCAATTGGCCCAGTGGTGAGAATCTTTATCTTCTTGATATTGAGCCTCAATCCATATTGAAGGCTACAGTCCTTGACCCTCTGCAGCAAATGCTTCAGGTCTTCCTCAGTTTCAGCAAGCATAACACAGATTCTTGATGAATCTTCCTCTAATCATGATGCCACACTTCTCCTCATAGAGCCCAACCTCCTGGATAATCTGTTCTGCATGCAGGTTGAAAAGGTATGGGGCTAGGACACATCCCTGGTGTACACCCTATCCAATTTTGAACCATGCAGTGTTTTCTTGCTTTATTCTGACGACTGCCTCCTGGTCCAAGTATAGGTTTCGCATTAGCACGATCAAGTGTTCTGGGATTCCCATTCTTCTCAAAGTCAGCCACAGTTTGTTGTGATCCACACAGTCATATTACAGTATAGCTTTTCATAATATTCTGACATTATAGATTTTATTTCCCCTGGTTCTGTTGTGATGTCACCTTTATCATTAATTAATCGAGTTATTAGAGACTTCTGCTTTTTTGCTTTTTTTCTTAAGTTTGCCAATGGTTTGTCAATTTTACTCACCCTTTCAAAAAAAAAACCCACAAAAAACAACAGCTTCTGGTTTTCTTGATGGTTTAATTGTTTTTCTGTTTTCTCTCTCTTTGATTTCAGCACTTGTCTTTATAATTGATGAAGCTGTTGAGTTAGATCATTAATTTTGCTTCTTTATTCATTTTTTTATGTGCTTGCCTATTGTTACGAACTGGCCCCCGAGGACTGCTTGAGCTGCATCCGAGAAGTTTTGGTAGGAATGGGTGAGAAATCTCAGTTTACACTCATCAAATATGTCTCATTCAAAGAGATAGACTCTCCAGCTGGCAGGGTGGAGTTGGGCCCATGGTGTCAACACCAACAGAACAAGCCCAGACCCCGTGTTCAAAAAGTATAAATACAATACATACAATAAAAGTATAAAGCAATACATAGCCCCATCCTCAAAGGGAACAAGTTGCAGTTATTTTTTGCTCTGATTTAGAAGACAAGAGATAGCAATAAAAATGAAAGAAAAGAAGTCAGGATCTTCAGCAAGATAAAGTGAATGCCCATATAGTAACCATCAGATGTTTCTTAGTTTG